ATTAGTTCGATATATGCATAAATGTACCTTCAGTACGGAAACAAAAATTTTGTCAAGTTATCTAAAAATTAGATAGTTAAATGAGTTTTAATAAAAAGGGAAAGGGAAGGTTGGCAACCGTTTCGAAACGGTGATGAGGTAGCGGTATCGGTATTTTGACTTATTTCGGTATTGGTATTTTAGCGTTATCGGTATTTTGCCTTATTTCGGTATTTATATTTTAGCGTTTTCGGTAGTGTACAAAAAAGATATTTTGACGGCAATTTCGATATGATTTAAATAATTAAAAATATGTTCATAAATGCAGTGGAACAGCATAAGCAAACTTTTAAATAAAACAAAAATAATATTGGTATTATTGTTTTACGTATTTTTTTTAAGTTTATCTTAAAAACAGTGTTGAGCAAATTTACGCAGCATTTCGTAAAATTACGCAATATTGTTGCAACTGCATTTACAAATGCGCTCATAATTTTAACAGTTTTACGAATAATTAGATTTTTATATAGAAACATTAAAGAACAACTTTAATTCATTCATTAATAAATTAAAAGTAAAAAATAATGTTCAAAAATAAATAAATTAAATTCAAAATTGTATGGATTTCGTTTTTAACAATTATTACAATATGCGACCAAAACAAATATTTATACTATTTTTCTGGAAGGTGGATCCGAGTAGAAAACGAATCTGTTTTTTTTTTAATTTGCCAAACACCTCCAAAATCTTGAGATAGGTACGTATAAAACCGGGGTTTCGTACTTTTAAGCACATATAAGTCAGAAATTTAGTTGATTCTCAACCGATTTTCAGTTTCGATTTTATTGAACTTTTTTCGAGAAAACAGAAAAGTAAAGAACAAAAATATTATTTTCAAAAACAAATACCAAATTATCGAATTTGTATTTATTTATAAATACATATTCTAATTTATTTATAAAAAAATTCAATTGGATTTCAGAAATATAATTTAAATTGGAATGCCGAAATATAAAGTTGTTTAATACAGCTATGAATGTTGAACGTTGTCATGAAGGCAGAGTCTTTTTTCTTTTAAAAATTCGTTTAATAATTCTCTTATTGATGCATTTTTGCCATAATTTTCCTTTTCTATATTTTGTAATATTGCTTCCAAACTGTCTGTAGACGATGAACTAGTATTCATTTCACCATCGGTTACAAGTATGCAATCGGTCTGAGTAAGACTATTCATTTTATCTATTACAGAAATAACGTGTTCTATGGCACGTTCCTTTAAAGAGTTTTAAAGTACCACGTTCCAGCGTGGATCCATAAATATTGCAGCAATGAACGCGTCATTTTCAAATAAAATATTTTTATTATTTTTCATATGTTCTATTAAATTATTGGAAAAATTAGTTTTAATTTTTTGCAATTGCAATTTGCAATTGCACCAAGCGGCATACGCATCGCCAAATGTAAGTTGCTCCATTTGCAACGTTTTAGTGACAATATTGGCGGGTCGCAACGTATCAACGGCATCTGAGATGCTCTTCCACATTTTTCGTGAAATAAAAAAGTCATCACTTTTTTGAGACATTTTCTGGCAAAATTGTTTTATTTTATTTCCGTTAATTGATTCCAGCATTTCATAAGTAGAAGACCAACGTGTTACGCAATCAATTGTCGGTTTGTTTAATCCCTCATTTTTCAACAGAATGCCAACATTAGGAGTTCTAAATTTTTTAACCACGGTTCTTACGGTCGACGTTACCTTTCTCCATTAGTTTTTCTTTTAAAACGCAATTAACAGCTAATTGCAGAGTATGTGCAGCACATCGAACTCCTAAAACGAGCGAAAATATCTCAATGATATTCAAATTATAGAGTTCACATGAGTATAAATTTAAAAAAAGACAAATTTTCAAAACATAATTTGCTCCATAAACCATTGATGAATTGTTATGAATAAGACAGTATATATCGTCACCTGAAACGCAAACGGCCCTAACTAACCAAAAATCCAAAATCGATTTTATTGCAGATTCTAATGAAATTAGACTCCTCCGGCCAAAATTAGCAAAAGGCCCTATCTACAAAAACATTTAAATATTAAAGGTAAAAAGTCCAATTTATCCATTTTTATGTACGCCAATGTCAATTATCACAAACTTTCCAATTTAAATAGTTTTTTGCTTCTCCTGTAAAATTTTAGCTAAGATACTATTAAAAGCTAAGAAAAGTCAAAGATTTTAAATACTTCAATATCTTTTAAGATACTAAAAATTTCATTCTACAAAAAAAATTATAGAATTATGTATGTAGTTTCGATTATAACCCCCAATTCATAATCAAACTTTTATTTTATAAAAGGTTTATAAAACAAAATTTTCTTACAAAATTTGTTTTCTTATACTGAAAAAATTATTATTTTATGAATCTTTAATAAAAATTAGCTATATTTAATTTGAGATTTAACATTAAAATTAAGCATTTAATCCTAATTTTTTTATTCTAAAACGATGTTTGAAAAAAGGGACTTTTATTTTACAAAAAATAAAATAAAATTTATGTTTAAATAAAGGGGAATTTCAAAAAATCGCTTTGACTAGTTATTGAGATCTTGATCGATGATAGCAATTAGTCATTGAATAAGAAAATCGAACATATTTGTATTTACCTTAATTTTTTAAATTTCGTTCCCGAATCAAAATATATATATATATATATATATATATAAAATGTTTTTTCCCAATTCTAAAGTAGTTTTTTCAGAAACTACCAAAGATAATTCGATGAATTTTGTAACACATTATTTTTTTATGCCAGGGATCAAGTATGTTCAAACTCATAACAATTGAAACAATATTTCCCATAGCCCCCATAAAAAAAGGTGTATATTCTCGGATATAAGTTTATCGTTAATAACTCTCTCAAATATATCGGTATCAACACAAAAATTTGTACATACAAATATAATATGAATATAAATGATACTACCAACGTAGATCTCAGTCTGTACACAATTGGTCATAGCGCCAATGTAATGTAACACACATATTTCATTGACAAATAAAGCTTTTGTGATAAAATTCGAGCTGAATATGTTTTGTCTACATACAAATCATTCTACCAAATTTCTTTTCGGATCGGTCCATTATTACTCATAGCTCCCATATAACGCCCACTTTCAGAAATCACTTAAACTTGATAAAATTCGACACAAATATATTTCGTCTACATATATAGAAAAAAGTGAGCATTAGAAGAATCGTGACGTCAAATCATTATTTTATTTAGCCTATTGTTCTACTTTAGAATAGAACTATTAGTGTTCTAAATTTCATGTAAATCGGTTCAGTAGTTTGTCCGTGAAAGCGTAACAAAAATACTTTCTCTTTCATATAACAACAACAGGCCCGAAATTAGTCCTATAGGTGTATTTATTCGGATTTGGTGTATTAAACATTCTCTTCCTCAAACATTGTATGTTGCCAAATTTCTTGAAAATCGGTTAATTTTTTTTTTTATATTTAGCCTAGAAATTTAGTGTTATAGCAGTTATTCAAAAAGTGAACAAAAAAATGTGCATATCATCCACTCAATATCATATAGAGTATTTTATACCCTCCACCATCATCAGTGGTGATAGATGGTATATATAACTTTGTCATTCCGTGTGTAACACCAAGAAATATTCATCTGAGACCCAACAAAGTATATATATTCTTATGAAATTCTGAGTCGATTTAGCTATGTCCGTCTGTCTGTCTGTGTAAAACACGCTCACGTTAAAACAAAGCAATAAATATTCACGAAACTCACCCAAAACATTCCTTATTATCCGGTCCAGTTTGGTATTGAAAATCAGTAAAACCGGTTCAAGACGTAAAAAGTTATGATTAAAAATTTCAAACTACCTCGAAAAAATAACGTTTTTTCCCAATTCTTAAGTAGTTTTCTCAGAAACTACCAACGATATTTCGATGAATTTTGTCAGACAATATTTTTTGTGGCAGGGATCAAGTATGTTCAAACTCATAACAATTGATCCAATATTTCCCATAGCCCCCATACAAAGGTGTATATTCCCGGATATAAGTTTATCGTTAATAACTCCCTCAAATATATCGGTATCAACACAAAATTATGTACATACAAATATAATATGAATAGAAATCACCAACGTAGATCTCAGTCGGTCTACAATTGGTCATAAAATCACCTAAACACACGTATTTAATTGACAAATAAAAATAAAGCTTTCGTGATAAAATTCGAGCTGAATATGTTTTATGTACATACAAATCATTCTACCAAATTTCTTTTCGGATCGGTCTATTATTAGTCATAGCTCCCATATAAGGCTCACTTCCGAAAATCATTTAAACTCACATATTTAATTGTCAAATAAAGGTATCTTGATAAAATTCGGTACAGATATGTTTTGCGTACATACAAATCATTCTACAAAATCTTTTACGGATCGGACCATTATTGGTCATAGCTCTCATATAAGGCCCACTTCCGGAAATCACTTAAACGCACATATTTAATTGTCAAATAAAAAACGAAATAAGTATGTTTCGTCTATATATGAATCACTGTACGAAATTTTTTTCGGATAAGACCATAATTGGTCATAGCTCCCATATAGGGTCCACTTCCGAAAACATTTAAACGCATATGTTTCGTTGATAAATAAAGCTATCGGTATAAAATTCAACTTGTATGTTTTGTATACGTATAAATCATTCTAACAAATTTTCCCCGGATCGGTCCATTATTGGTCATAGCTCCTGTTTGGCCATTTTAATAATTTATAAAAATGAATTTTGAAATGAATTTAAAATAATTATATATAAAAAAAAAAATTTGAATTGAACTGCAAACCCTTAAACTTTTTGTAAAAAATAGTAGTTTTTTACACCCTTGCCCTTTGTAAGGCTTGGATAATTTTAGAAAAAACTGTTATACTATATAGAAAATAATTGCCATTTTTAAAATTAATAAAACACTTGTTTTTTAAACACCAAATCGTGAACACCAATTTTATATTTTTTTTTTCGCATCGGCTATTTAGTGTTTTTTTTTTTAATAATCGGTCTATTTAATTTAGCAAAAACTCTTGCTAAACATTTTGGTGCCCGAGCAGGGACTGATTTTTAATAAAGAAAAAAAAACATTTAAATAATCGAATACTAAAATTGTATTTTTTTTCGCAATCAGACATTTCGGTTAAAAAAGAAACATTATAAGAACAAAGTGTTTGTGTTTTAAGTGCTAACACAATTAACCAAACGTTCAAAAAACCGCGGTCGTTAGTAAAACGCTCGGTTAATAAACAAAACATTTAATATAAAAACAATAAAGTTTGTGTTTCATCCCCTTAATCATCAAAGGAGCATCCAAATGCACTGTAATTGCTGCTTGTGCCAAAAAGAAAAGGGAAGTTCGAACCAACAACAAAACCAGGTATTCAAGAATAAATAATTTTGTGTGAGACTCGAGATCAGAGATACAAGCCGAGACGGCTCAAATCGGCGGCGGCTGGCCGCCGGTAATATTTTGCAAGCCGCGCCGCCGCCGACTTCTTTCGGCTCAAAAGCTAAGCCGGCTTAAACGTAGCCGCTGATAAAGATTAGAATCACACATGTATTTCAAAACATAATTTCACCAAATTGAACGGAGTTGCCACTATTTTGAATTCTTATGGCAAATTGAAAAGAGTTTCCACACAATATTGTGCTAATATTAAAATAGTGAAAACTACTATAAATGTCCATTTTCTGCAGAAAAAACTTATACAGAGACAGGTTTCTATGTAACAGACTATTATACAAAGATTTTTCAATATAATAAACCTTATAAGGTCAATTTCTAAAGAAAAAGTTAAATTGAGCCGACAATTTAGCCGCCGCCGATATTTTCTGTAATAAGCCGCCGCCGCCGACCCAAAATGGTTGCGCCGCCGCCGCCGATCATTTCCCATCGGCTTGTATCTCTGCTCGAGATACGAAGTATAGTAAATACTTTTTTCTTTTAATAAAAAAAAAAAAAAAATTCACGTTCCGCAAGTTTATTCCACACAACGATTATTTTTTCTTACCAATTTATTTTATTATTCGCCCTGAAAAGTGAAACATTAAATAAAAACAAATAATACATTTCACACATTTATTGCCAAAAATATTGCACATATTTTCACTAATTAAAATTACAATAAATTCGATGATCTCGATCGGTTTTCTTAGTCATTGTTTTTCTCTTAATTTTTTTACTCTGCTCTCTTCGCTTTAATTTGTTTTATTTTCCTGGAAAATAAAATTTAATATTAATTAATAACTAATACTTACCATTTTCCTACTTTTCTTTTACTTTCACTTTAATTTATTATTGTGTTGTTTGTTTGTATTGACATTCGTTTGTATAAACAGAGTTGTTCCTTTTTTGTACCTACTAATTACAACTATTGTGATTGATCATATTTGGCATTACTTTTACACAGCTGTTGTAATATTGAGACTTGGCTCCACTGTTACACATGTTTGTAACGTAGATCAACACATGTAAAAAGTAGAGAAGGCAACATAAGAAAAAACAAACGTCAACCCAGCGAACATTTTTATGTAAACTGAATATAGTGAAAAAAGTATATGAAAATTAAATAATATATAAATAGATAAATATCTTTATCATTTTTAATAATAAATTTCTAATACTTATAATTATTTATAAAAAGCTTGAGGATTGAGCACAAATTGGTTTAATTAAGTAAAGATAAGATTGAGAAATTATTTTAGTAAAAAATAATTTACAATTGAGAACAAATCGATTTAGAGGTCGTTGTGAGTTTTTAATTTGTAGAATTCTTGATAATATTGAACGAATTCTGTTGCTTGTGTTTGCAAATTGAATTTGTTTGAACATTTAAGCTAGCAAACGATTATTATAATCAAAAGTTTAATACTTATTTGAATTCTAACGAAAATTATAACGTGCAGAAAAGTATTTTTTTATAAATCTATAAAGTTTCTGAAATTATAGTAAATAATTTGGATTATAATTGGAAGTCGTTTTATCGTTTTAGATCTTGAAAATTGTCAATTTTAATAATCAAATAGACAATAAGATTTCTTGAGATCCTTCCATAGCTTTTTGTAAAATCAATATAAAATTTCTGAAATTATAACAAATTATTTCGATAATAACTGGAAGTCGTTTAATCGCTTTTAGATCTCGAAAATTGTTAATTTGCTTCATCAAATAGACAATTATATTTTCTTGAGATCCTTCCATACATCTATTTGTAAAACTAATTTGCGAATAAAGTTAAATTAAAATAATACAAAATGCACGCATCAAAGAAAACTGGTAAAAGCAAACTGGAAATTCTAAATCAACAGAAGAATACAGTTTTGAATAATATTAATCGCGTTCGGCGATCTATAAAGGAAAAAACAATTTCTTTTAATCCACTTGAATTGGAATGTCGACTCGATATATTAAATTCATATATTGAACAGGCAATGACTTATCAGTCAGAAATCGATATTTTAGATCCTGAGAACGATGAAAGATCTGCTGTTGAAGACTTGTGTGTGACTACTAAATGTCTACTTCTTAGATATTTGACACCGAGTCGAAGACAAAGCAGCCATGATTCTACTATTGGTTATCCAACACACCACAGCAGTCTTCCTAAAATGAAATTACCAAAATTTAGCGGCAAGTACTCAGAGTACAAACATTTCATTAGTTTGTTTGAGAGTTTAGTTGATCATGACATGTCGCTTACTGAAATCGAAAAGTTCAATCATTTGATTTCATGTCTCTCTGATGAAGCTCTAGGTACTGTGAAGGCTTATCAAATTACTGAACAGAACTATTCCAAAGCTTTAGCAAGTTTGAAACGGGTTTATGATAATCCTTGTCTTATATTTTTCGACAATATTAGACAATTGTTTCACTTGCCCGAAATAACGAAACCTTCGTCTTCAGCTTTGAGGAGCACGATTGACACAGTTTCGGCAGTATATGATTCACTGTTATCAATTGGTGATGACAAAGCTATCTCAAACGCTATGATTATTCATATGGTTATGACAAAAGTCGATCCAGTCACTCGCTCTAAATGGGAAGAGCAACTTAATTATGATATGTTGCCAATGTGGAGTGATTGCGAAGAGGCCCTGAATAAGAGATATACACATATATCAGCTGAAGAAGCTTCGTGTTCGCGACCTAAAACTAATAAAATTACTCAAAAGAAGAATGACAACAATACGGGTAGAAAAGGAAAATCATTTTCGTGCCAAGTCAAAACACAGCAGGACAATATTAAATGCATTTTTTGCAGATCAGCGGAACATTATGTTTCTAACTGTCCGTCCTTTGCTGCCATTCCTGTTGCTCAAAGATTTGATTTCATAAAAAATGTACCGGCCTGTATAAGTTGTTTGAGAAAAGGTCATACAATAACAAAATGTACTGCCACAAAATGTAGAGTTTGCAATCGTTCTCATCATACACTTTTGCATCAATAACACGCAAACTGTAAATCCGACAACTTCAAGTCCAGACGAGTGCATCTTCGAGTGCATCTGTCAATATTTCAGCCTCTAATAAAGATAATGTTATCTTGGCTACGGCTTTGGTTAAAATAAAAGATAGATCTGGGCAATATGTATTTGCTAGGACATTATTGGACTCTGGATCACAAATTAATTTTGTATCTGAAGAATTGTCGCAACGATTGCAATTAGAAAAAGAAGAAAATAATCTCAATCTTGTAGGCATAGGGAAAACTAATTCTGCAGACAAATTCAAGATTCAAGTTACTGTGAAATCTCGAGTGAATTCCCACGAATTTTCTTCCGACGTTTGGGTTCTTCGATCGATTTCCGGTTATCAGCCAGATACGGTAATTTCTACCACTGGTTGGAATATTCCTAATAATATTGAACTTGCTGATCCGTACTTTTTCAAACCGCAGAAAATTGATATGTTGATCGGCGCTGAGATTTTCTTTGAACTGTTATGCGTTGGTCAAATAAGACGAAGTCCCGACATCCCAACTGTTCAGAAAACACTTCTCGGTTGGGTTGTGTCTGGTAAATACAAAAATTGTAAGACTTCCACCAACAAATCGTGTCACATAAGTACATGGGGTAATGATGAAAATGATTTGTCTCTTGATAAAATTGTTCAGAGATTTTGGGAATTGGAAGAAATTCCCAGAGACACAAAAGTTCTAACTTTAGAACACCAACAATGTGAAGAGAAATTTGTTGAATCAATTAGACAATTGCCGTCTGGCAGATTTGAAGTGTCGCTCCCTTTCAAAGACGATCCGAGTAAATTGGGTTGTTCTTTTGACATAGCCAGAAGACGTTTTCTTTCACTGGAACGTCGCTTATCAAAAGATTTGAAAACGAAAGAGATGTACAATAATTTTATGAAAGAGTACATTGAGCTGGGGCACATGTCTATTACAGGCAATAAAGTACCAAATTTCCCACATTATTTTATACCACATCAGTGTGTATTGCGTCCACAGAGCATATCGACGAAACTTCGAGTCGTTTTCGATGCTTCGTGTAGAACTACAACACAACTCTCTCTTAACGATCTATTAATGATTGGACCAACAGTTCAAGAAGAGTTGTATTCTACTCGGTTTCGTCTACATAAATATGCCCTCACTGCTGACATTGAAAAAATGTACCGCCAAGTTTTAATTGATGAGCTAGACAGAAAATTCCAATTAATACTTTGGCGTGAAAGTGAGACAGATAGCCTTGAAATTTACAAACTGAATACAGTTACTTATGACACGTCATCGGCTCCATTTTTGGCAATACGCTGCTTAATGTATTTAAGCGATCAATTCCGAACCAAGTTGCCAATTGGATCTAAAGTTGTCCGTAGAGATTTTTACGTCGATGATTTGCTAACTGGAGCAGATTCAATTGAAGAACTTGAGGTAATACGAAATCAAGTCACTGAAATATTGCAATCAGCGGGGTTTAATCTGACTAAATGGGTTTCTAATTATGAAACCAATCCTGATTCCAGTATGATTCAAAACTTTGGCTACAGAAATTGGACTGGGATGAATCGATTCCGATGAATCTTCAGACATCCTGGGAAAATTTTAAAACAAATTTGTCAAAAATTGATAATATCGAAGTTCCCCGCCATGTATTAACAAGTTCGCATTCTACTAGCGAAATTCATGGTTTCGCTGATGCCTCAATGAGAGCATATGGATGTTGCATCTATGTTCGAAGTAGAGTGGCTAATCAAATCACTTGTCGTTTGCTAACAGCAAAATCTAAAGTAGCTCCTTTGAAAACTAAGTCGCTTCCTCGACTTGAGCTTTGCGCAGCACATTTATTAGCGAAATTATGGGCTAAGGTGAGAACTCTGTTATCGTGTAACATTGAAAGCGTTACGTTCTGGACTGATTCTGAAATAACTCTACATTGGATTAAAACTCATCCATCAACCCTAGCAACATTTGTATCAAATCGTGTTGCAGACATTCAGGAATTGTCAGACCAAATTGTTTGGCGACATGTTCCTTCACGGGACAATCCTGCTGATATTGTATCTAGAGGTTGTAATGTCGATGATCTCAATTTGGTTCAAGGGCCCGGAATTCTTGCTTAGTGAAAGTAATGAATGGCCAGAAAATCAACATTTTACGTTGAACGATCAACAAATATCATTAGAGAAAAGAAAAACCAATGTATTTTTTGCTGTCAAAGATTCCAATTCGATAATAGAGCTGATTAATAAACATTCATCCTACCTTAAGTTGATTCGAGTGTTTTCGTATGTATTACGTTTCATCCAGCGCTGTCGTAAAAAAGAATTGGATATCTCAACCGTAAACCCAACAGCAAATGAGATGAATTGGTCATTCCTTAAAATAGTGGAAATTATACAGAACGATGAGTATTCGCAAGAAATTAAAAAACTTCAGAATTCACAAGTCTTGCAATCGAATTTGCAAAAGCTGAATCCATTTATTCACGAATTTAATGATCACAATCGAACATTTTCACTAATCAGGGTAGGCGGGCGATTGCTAAATGCAGCAATCTCGTACGATGCGAAATTTCCCTTATTGATGCCTAAAAAATGTCACTTTATGACTATTTACTTACGTCATTTGCACTTCGAAAACTGCCATGCAGGAGCTAAAGCGTTAGTAGCTCTTCTTCGAGACAAAGTCTGGCTAATTAATGCCAAAGAAGAATGCAGTCGAATTGTTCGCAAATGTATTCATTGCTTTATGTATAAACCAAAGCTAATGAACCAAATAATGGGAAATTTGCCTGCTGATAGGGTGAGAGCTTTGCGACCATTTAAGATATGTAGCGTAGATTTTTGCGGACCAATGAATGTAACTTTAAAAATTCGTGGCCGTCCACCCGTAAAAATGTATATAGCTGTATTTGTATGTTTCACTTCAAAGGCAGTACACTTAGAACTTGTTAGTGATTTATCTTCCGATTCCTTTATTTTGTGTCTCAAAAGGTTCATCGCCAGGAGAGGAATGCCGACGAGAATCCACAGCGACAACGCAACGAACTTCGTGGGGGCCAGCCGAGAGCTGCGAGAGGCCAGAGGAGAAATCTTGAAGCAGGCAGAATTGTTCGCCGCCAACAGAGGGATGGAGTTCATCTTTATACCTCCCAGGGCTCCTCACTTCGGCGGGTTGTGGGAAGCAGCGGTCAAGTCAGCCAAGAACCTGATGGTGAAAACCGTTGGCAGCGCGCTCTTGACAGTGGAAGAGCTAACAACGCTGTTAGCAGAGGTAGAGGCAATCCTCAACTCACGACCAATATGCCCCGTCAGCAGCGATCCCAACGACGGAGAGGCCCTGACACCAGCTCATCTATTGGTCGGAGAGAGTCTTCGAGCGCTGCCCAGCGGATTGCCAACAGACGAGTCGGCCAAGCTGTCGTACTTGAAGAGATGGCAGCGTATTTCCGCACTCAAGCAGACGTTTTGGCGATCCTGGGTGAGAGATTACGTCCTGGGCCTTCAACAGAGGACGCGATGGTGCGATGAAATGCCCGACGTCGCCGTCGACAAAATCGTCGTCGTACACGACGACAATCTTCCGCCAATGCAGTGGCTGACGGGCAGAATAATAGCCGTTATTCCAGGCCAAGACGGCAAGATCCGAGTAGCGGAAGTGAGGACGAGGAACGGAGTCATTAAGCGGCCAATTCACAAGCTAGCGCTTCTTCCGTTGGATTGAAGACCAAGGTCCTTCAATGGGCCCGGCATGTTTGCCCATTTTAATAATTTATAAAAATGAATTTTGAAATGAATTTAAAATAATTATATAAAAAAAAAAAATTTGAATTGAACTGCAAACCCTTAAACTTTTTGTAAAAAATAGTAGTTTTTTACACCCTTGCCCTTTGTAAGGCTTGGGTAATTTTAGAAAAAACTGTTATACTATATAGAAAATAATTGCCATTTTTAAAATTAATAAAACACTTGTTTTTTAAACACCAAATCGTGAACACCAATTTTATATTTTTTTTTCGCATCGGCTATTTAGTGGTTTTTTTTTTGAATAATCGGTCTATTTAATTTAGCAAAAACTCTTGCTAAACAGCTCCCATATAAGGCTATCTTCCGAAAATCATTTAAACTCACATATTCATTGTTAAATAAAGCTATCTTGATAAAATTCGACACAAATATGTTTTGTGTACATACATATGAATCACTCTACGAATTTTTTCTGGAGAGGCCCGTAATTGGTCGTAGCTCCCATGTGAAGTCAAGTTATCTAAAAATAAGATAGTTAAATGGTTTTTAATAAAAAGTAGCTTGCTGGTGGAGGGTACATATTTAAGATTCGGCATAGCCGAATATAGCACTCTAACTTGTTAACTTCTAAGGTTAGACCTATTAAACGCCACATTTTATGTAAATAAGTTTATTAGTTATGTAGTGAAAGAGTATAAAAAGAGTTTCATATATATTTATTATTATATTTATATTATAGGTTTTGAAGATGTAATGTGTCGTACTGTTCATACCGCAACATTCATTATAATAGATTTCATGAAAATCGGATCAGTAGTTTTTTGTATGCCTGAACGTAAATTTGGTGTAATGTAAGTTTTCTGTAAGTCTCGAATGAAAATTTTGTATAACAATTATATAGAAAAAAGTGAGCATAAGGAGAATCGTGACGTCAAATCATTATTTTATATAGGCTCTTGTTCTACTTTAGAATAGAACTATTAGGGTTCTAAATTTCATGTAAATCGATTCAGTAGTTTGTCCGTGAAAGCGTAACAAACAGACATTATCTTTCATATAATTATAGGATAAGATATAGGTAAGGATAGTTTTATAAAAATCGGGCGTAGAAAGGGCGTGGCATCGGATCAAGTTCTTAATCGGTTTAGAAGTTTTTCATATTGTGATTGTAAAATTGGTGTAATAATAGTTTTACAAAAAGTGAGCGTGAAAAACAAATAGCCTATTGTTCCTTTTGGGGTTAGACCTATTAGCTGTCCAAATTTCATGTAAATCGGTTCAGTAGTTTTGCCGTGAAAGCGTAACAAACAAACACACAAACAAACAAACAGTCTGTTTTATATATATAGGATATAGGATTATAGGTTTTGAAGATGTAATGTGTCGTACTGTTCATACCACAACATTCATTATAATAGATTTCATGAAAATCGGATCAGTAGTTTTTTGTATGCCTGAACGTAAATTTGGTTTAATAATTGTTTTACAAAAAGTTGGTGTAAAAAGGGGCGTGGCGTCCGATCCTGAGATAAGACCTATCGGTTCAGTAGTTTTCTGTAAGTCTCGAATGCAAATTTTGTATAACAATTATATAGAAAAAAGTGAGCATAATAAGAATCGTGACGTCTAATCATTATTTTATATAGGCTCTTGTTCTACTTTAGAATAGAACTATTAGTGTTCGAAATTTCATGTAAATCGGTTCAGTAGTTTGTCCGTGAAAGCGTAACAAACAGACATTCTCTTTCATATAATTATAGGATAAGATATAGGTAAGGATAGTTTTATAAAAATCGGGCGTAGAAAGGGCGTGTCATCGGATCAAGTTCTTATATATAGCCTAAAGTTCTTACCAAGCTTATACCTATCGGTATGCAAAATTTCAGGTTAATCGTTTTAGTAGTTTTTGCATATTGTGATTGTAAAATTGGTGTAATAATAGTTTTAAAAAAAGTGGGCGTAAAAAGGGGCGTGGCATCCGATCAAGATCTTATATAGCCTATTGTTCCTTTTGGGGTTAGACCTATTAGCTGTCCAAAGTTCATGTAAATCGGTTCAGTAGTGTTGCCGTGAAAGCGTAACAAACAAACAAACAAACAGTCTGTTTTATATATATAGGATATAGGATTATAGGTTTTGAAGATGTAATGTGTCGTACTGTTCATACCACAACATTCATTATAATAGATTTCATGAAAATCGGATCAGTAGTTTTTTGTATGCCTGAACGTAAATTTGGTTTAATAATTGTTTTACAAAAAGTTGGTGTAAAAAGGGGCGTGGCATCCGATCAAGATATTATATAGCCTATTGTTTTTTTTTGGGGGTTAGACCTATGAGCTGTCCAAATTTCATGTAAATCGGTTCAGTAGTTTTGCCGTGAAAGCGTAACAAACAAACAAACAATCTGTTTTATATACGTATAGGATAGGAAATAAGATTTTTTTTATTAACGAATATGCTATTATCATTTTTCCTAATTGTGCGCAGTAACGTATTTTAAGCAGTTTTAAATTCTGTTAAATGCATAAAATATCCATAAAATTTAAACATTTTTCAATATAAAATATTTTAAAAAATCGGCAAAAATAGATGTAATGAACGTCACAACAAAATATTTTTATATTTTGCATAAAAAACTTCAAATAATCTACTTATGCACTTTTAGAAAATTTTAAACAGGGAGAACGATTTCAAAAATGCATTCAAAAAGTGCATTTCCATAAATAATGTACTCTTAAACTTTTTAATATAAAAATTATATTAGAATGAAAGAGCTCATCCATAGTAAGAGATTGGGTTCTAAATCAAAAAAATCCGATATGAACTCTCAAAGATAAAAAGGTTCATAGTTTAATACCTTTTTGATTTTTGTAGTTTTGAACAAATTAAAACCGCCATAAAAATCGCATTTCTTGAAATTTTTGAAAATAAACAACGGAGTTGTTTTATTTTCTACTTCAAGAACATATATTCATAATATTCATTTCAATGAACAAAAAATACCCATCCCTGATGTCAATATTAAAACCCTTAAACATAAAAAATATTTAAAATTTACTTATATATAAACCTAACCCTAGTGTTCAAACTAAACCCTAATTCAAAAGAAAATAAACCTTAACCTAAAATTTGTTATATATATATACTTACCTTAATCCTATATAATAAATACTTACCCGCTATAGTTCAATAAACACATGAATTTATAACGTTTTATGAAAAAAAAGGAAAGAACAAGAGTTTTTATTTACTTACCCGCTACTTAAACTTACTCTATACCCTACCCTTTCTAACCCGAACAAACATTGGTCCTTCGAGTCGGATGTTCTGAATGTTGAAGTTCAAGGAAAGCTATTTCCAGCTAGAGCGCTTATTGACCCAGCTTCAGACTTCTCATTTATTACAGATAAACTGAGAAGAAAGTTACATTTACCCACTACACCCATAGTTGCAGAAATTTCCGGATTAAATGAGATAGTTTCTGCAAGATCAACTAAACTGTGTCAAGTTTCTCTACGCTCGAATACCCGCAATAATTTCAAATTGAATATCCAAGCAATTGTAGTGAAAACACTAACAAAACAAAACACTAACAAAAAATTTACCCACCCAGAGTTTAAACCCAATCCTAATTAAGACTTGGAAGATATTCAATTAGCTGACCAAAAGTTCTATGAAAGCAGACCTATAGACTTTATAATTGGCAGCGATTTTTACCCTCAAATATTGAAATCTGGAGTACGAAAAGATCTTCTTAATACCCTAATAGCTCAGGAAACTGAGTTTGGCTGGATTTTAACCGGACCCATTCAGAACACCAACAATACTCAACCCTTAGTTTCATACTTCAGTTCAGTCACGCTTGATAAAGTTTTGACCAAATTCTGGGAAATTGAAGATGTACCCACCCAACCCAAAGTTTCAGAAGAAAGTTCTTTTTGTGAAGAAACTTATATGACCACTACCCGTCGATTATCGAATGGACGTTATCAAGTTAACCTTCCATTTATATACCCTCCTGTAGAGTTAGGAAACTCGCGACATGTAGCTATGGCTCAGTTCTTAAGAAATGAGAAAAGTTTAATGAAAAAGCCAGAACTAAAAATGGAATATGATAACGTGCTACAAGAGTATATCGATTTAGGTCATATGAAACCAATTAAATATAACCCAAACACTCCTTCAAACACCCATTATTATTTACCCCATCACGCTGTTGTTAAACTTGATCGTGTTACGACAAAAGTTCGAGTTGTATTTAATGCATCTAGTAAAACCTCGAATAGCAACAGTCTTCCCTACACATTGGTCTTACCCTACGTAGGGGCGCTTGTAGTAGAAAACAATGATTTTTAATTTTTATTTCAAAATTGTAATTTTGTTGAACATCATTTCTATTGGGAAGAGTTTCATTTGAATTTAACGGTTTTTGAAGATTTGGTTTCAATTGACATTTCAATTTGTTGACAGCTTGTATTAAATGATAATGCAGTGCTGTTGTCAAAAGATAAAAGGAAGACATTTTCGATATATATTTTGGTATTGGTTTTTCTTATTTTGTATGTGTTAGTTTTTGCTAAAAAAACATTAAATTTCCAAATTTTCCAAAATTTTTCTCTCAAATATTGGGTATAAAAAGGAAGCCCAAAATCTTTCCTTTTTGCCTGCTGCTACCTACCAGTTTTCTTAAAAAAAAAAAACGTCGTTACTCTGCCGGAAAATTTATTTAAAAAAAAATAAAGAAGTTTTTTTTGAAATTGTAAGTTTTTATCCTGTTTCAATTATCCTTCGAATTTAATTCATGTTAAACAATTCAGTGTTAAACAATTTTTTTTTAGTTTTAAATAAATTTGGCTTAAATTGTTCGCATTTCGTGAAAGGATCTTTTGGATTTTATATCCACAAAATTATCTGTAACAGGATAATAAAATAATGTAAGTTTTGTTTTCTAAAGGAAAACTTGAGAAAAAATCCATTTTTTCAAATCAGTTTTCTATTTTTTTTAATTTTTTTAACGCAGTAACGCCAATTTCACAAATTTCAACTCAAAAGTAGGCAGAAAGTGTTTTTTATTTACCCAGCGGCAACAAAAGTCAAAGAAAAAGAAAATCGTTTGTTTTTATTTACAAAAAGGTAATAATTAACATAAAGAAAACAAAACACACGCATACAAACTAACATAACCAAAACCAAAATATCTTTACAGCACACAAACA